ATATTGTATTTAATGCTAAATTATTTTTAAAAAATATTACAGGGTTCCCAAGCAATTAATTTTTTTGTGAAATTAAATATAGGTGCAGACCCCCAATAAAATTATCATAATTTAGGTAGGTTAGCAATGATTTTAAAATCGTTTGAAATACAAACTTATAAGATACACACCTAACGAATAGTGCTGAAAGAATTTGTTCATTTTATACAAAGTGTTTTAAAACATGTAATAAATATGGTTCATTTTAAGTTCAATAGACTTATGTTTCTCAAATACAATACCCTGTATAATTTTTTAGCATTAAATTCTTTATGAATTTTTATACACAGCCCATTATACATATACAGGGTGTCATATCAGTGCGTATATGATCGATAGCTGTTTTATTATTGGAGATACGAATAAATTTTTAACTACAGGGTAGTCCATACATGAGAGGCGGACCAAACTTATAATTTTTTCAGATCAAACCATCTAAACAACAGATTTAGTTGTTTTCACATCGTTAAATAATTTTAATAGACTTAAAATTCCTAAAATGTTTTTTATTTGATCTATACATTGTGTGACTAAATTCGAGATTATGATATTCTCAATACCCTTTTTGTTACACTATCAATTCCTAAATAAATTTCTTAATTTTTTTATTTTGTTTCGCATTCTCTATACTCAAACGCATTTTTTTTCAAGATTCTGTTGGATTTATTATAAAAATTATTTTTCTAATTTTAATTGGCTTTCAAATTTTGGTCAATTACAAAACTACAAATAGGTAGGTCTAATTGATTTTAATATTTTTTTAAATAAAGCAATTCTATTTCAACTTAATTTCTCTAAAAATAAAAATATTTTGTTTTCTTATTGTCATCAGTAGCTCTAGGTTTAAAACATTTTGGTAATTACAGGTAAAATTTAAGGACTGTAACAGAGAGGCGTCTCTATACATTGTGTGACTAAATTCGAGATTATGATATTCTCAATACCCTTTTTGTTACACTATCAATTTCTAAATAAATTTCTTAATTTTTTTATTTTGTTTCGCATTCTCTATACTCAAACGCATTTTTTTTCAAGATTCTGTTGGATTTATTATAAAAATTATTTTTCTAATTTTAATTGGCTTTTCAAATTTTGGTCAATTACAAAACTACAAATAGGTAGGTCTAATTGATTTTTATATTTTTTTAAATAAAGCAATTCTATTTTCAACTTAATTTTTCTAAAAATAAAAATATTTTGTTTCCTTATTGTCATCAGTAGCTCTAGGTTTAAAACATTTTGGTAATTACAGGTAAAACTTAAGGACTGTAACAGAGAGGCGTCTCGAATTAATTACGAATCAAACAGCCAATTTGATGACAATTACAAGCAAAAAAGACAAGCAAACGCCTAACATTTTTGTCAAATTATTTTGCAGAAATAATGGAGGTCACAAGTAGATGAAGCGCTTTTACAATTATTCACTACGAACTATTTAATGGCCATACAACACACATTGTTTCGGAAGTATTTCAAACGTTTTAAATATATAACATTTCAAGTACAAGTTTATAAAATATTTCTGAAATATTTCTAAAATATTTCTGAAATATTTCTAAAATATTTCTGAAATATTTTATTTAAATATGTTCTTGAAACATGTTATAAATGTTACATAAAAGGTTACTAATGGGTTATGTTGTAAAAGGCCAAGAATTAATGAAAAATTTCTCATTTGTAAGGAGAAGATAGGTTATTTTTTGGTCATTTTATTATAAATAATAGGAAGTTTAATGCGTTTGTTCTCAGTTTTTGCCATTTGCTTTTTGTTTGTGCGTTGTGATGTTGTATGGAAATCGGAATATATCTTTAGAAATTAAGGTAACTTTTCTACAGAAATATAACGCTTGTAAGGGCCAAATCCACCGTTGTGTTAAACGAAGTTTAAATTGCTAAGCGAATATTAATATGACATTTTCCCGTAAACAATGTCATTTTAATCTTCGTTTACTAATTTAAACTTCGTTTAAAACAACTGTGGAATCGGCCTTAAGCAGATTGGATTAGGTTAATTTACTTTATGTCATTCTCTGTGATGAGTGACGCCATTTCGTTTATCAAATTTACAGGCAGTTTTAGGGCCAATCTTTTCACCTCTGTGTAAAGTTACACGTAGAGTTACTTGGCAGATCAAGGAACTATAACCTATAGTCTAATCAGGAAGTAGTTACTTTCAACTTTACTCAGGGGTGAAAAGACTAACATTTTTATCTAATATATATCCGTCATTTATTATCCCTCCCCAAGTTTTATTTATTAGTTCCACAGCTCTGATTGGAAAGCAAGAGGAGCTTTCTCATCATGTTTTGTTTAGGCATGATTACTTTCTTTTATTATAGTTCATTCAAAGCAATATTCATCAAACTACTGTTAATCAAATAATTTGTTTCAAATCCTTTTTTAGGTATCTCTATAATTTGTTTCAGGTTAGTGCATTTATAGAAATAAAGCAATTTGCTTTTATATTTTATGAAATAATGTTTAAAAATTATTCATTTATTTGTTTGTTTAAGAATCAGTATTTTTGATTTTTAAATAACTTTGTTTAGTCTAATAAAAATATTACAGTGTAATATTGCATTCATTTCGCGTTGATATTCCAGAAATATTTTAGAAACGTTTCTACAACGTTTCATAATATGTATGAAACAAAACTAGAGTACATTTCTGTAATATTACTATGTAAAATTTTTATTTTAGAAAGATTAGCGTGAAATATTAAATTTACAGGACATTTTTACATTTCAGGCACATTTCATAAATGTTTATGGAACGTTTCGTAATATTTATACATTACATGTGTTTGTGCTGTTTTGTATGGGTGATGGACAATATGGAGACGTTCAAACAAAAAATATTGAATTTCGATGCTTGGCTAACCCCATGTTCTCGAGATATAGAGCAACACATGTTGCGAACATTTTACATATCACATTTGTGGGCGAATGCTACATTAGCAGTTTCTTCAATCTTAGATTTTCAAAACCACGAATGGATAAAAATAGACAGTCTTAAATGCAAATGGTCCGATGGCTTTGAAATGCCAGAGTTAGCAATAGATAATATAAAACCACAAGAAGAAGGTATAATTGACAATACTTACTAGTAATTCTTTTCATGATCTGAAATTATGTTTCTATCATATTTCCAGAAGGTTTTATAGATAACGAAAGGATCTTGAGAATGACGATGATAGTGATAAAGATGCTAATGACAATGATGATATCGATAACGACTTAAACGATAACGATGATATAAAATAAAATAAAACTATTTTTTTTTCATATCTGCACATCGAAATTGTATGCAAACTGCTAAATTATGCTATTGTATCATTAACTGTACGAAAAACAAAGTAGCATACATTAAATAATTGTTCAAAAATGGCTGGAATTTTTACAACATTTAAATTGTTTTTGTAATAGTGCTACACGACAAAACTGTATGCAAATGTTTATATTAACAATGCCCCCATATAAACTTTATATTAAATTCGTTTTTAATTGTCAAATAATTGTTCCGAAATATTACAAAAAAAGTACATGTTTAAAAAAATACCGCAAAGCATGTACACGCTGCGATTGTCTTTCGTCTTTCGTGGTCTATGCTGTGAAAAATCATACGTTTAATAATTTTTCTTCAATACCCCTTCTTTTTTACATGTTCAATTAACAATTTCGGGACGTAGTACACGAAGGAGGCGTGTGCAGAATATTTTCCGCGGTATGTTTTTTCAGATTTTAACAAAAAAAGATTTGTAATCATTTACTAATGGTTCGGAATTGTACAGTTTCAATAAAAATTTAAATTTGCTTAGTGACGCCGCTGCATGTACTCTTAGATAATTGGCTAGAACACGGTAATTGTATATTTCGTAACAAGAGTTGTAAGCCCATTACGCACTCGTGAAATTTACGCACTCGCCGCTGCGAGGCTTCGTGCGTAATGGGATTACAACTCGTGTAACGTACTATACTTTTTCTACGCCCACTCAAAACATTATCAAAAATGGATTTAACGTTATGCTTGTGTCGCCAATCCATAAATTTTCGATAGGTAATTTCGTACCTTTCTTTGGATTTTAGCGGTAACAAATTATATGTGGCAGCTTGAGCTTTTTTTAAAATCTCCGGTAGACGGCTCATAATTCCATCAGTTTCACTGCTAACAAACATATTCGTAGATAAAGTTGAGAAAATGTTCGGATACAATCATATTTTGTTACAAAAATTGACAATTTAATTGTATAATATGTTGCCGACATTTAGGGGCATCACTCTTTTAATCCAAAATGTATCTCGCTAATGCTAAAAGTTTTTATGTTCTTTAAATGACTAAATTTATGTAAGTAGACCAAATAAAGTCGTATGTAGACAAAAATTTGATTGCAATTTGATTAAACCAAGAAATTTAAGTTTTCTTATCAAAACGCACGTGTATGTTATGAGATCTCATTACGTGCATGTTATTGTTAAATGTCATTTACAAGGAATGTTGATAGTGCGATTTTTAACGTTTACTGACATGGGCGTAGAAAAGATACCTACATACATTAAATAAACACAAAATCTGTTATTACCGGCTAGTTTATTATTATTTCTTTGTTGAATATTGTTCATATTATGTAAACAATTTTTTAAACCAATAGTTTAGTTAGTTTTAATTTAACAATAAGTGAATTTTATTTATAATAAAAATAAAAAATCGTATGTGTATGCCAGATATGCTTTACTAAAAAAGGTATCCTATCCGATGGCATTATTACCAGCTAACTCTTAATTTCACTAACATTTTATATTTTTAAAGGTACCCTTCAATCTGTTCAATATAAATTATATGGTGACTGTAGTCTCTTTTTGCTTACTAAGAGAGTTAGATACATATCTAAAAATCAAGAAAAGCGTAGATATGTTATAACTATATGAATGATACAAAATAGTTTCTAAGTAAGTTGTACTCACCCTAACTTCTTCAACAGTATTGGATATTTGATTGTCTCTCTTAGCCCAAGCAGGCACTTCCTCTTGAGGCTTCTTCGTCTGCCAAGGTTTAGGAGCCTCTCTTAGAGGAGGTGTCTGAACGCCAGGAGAATCTAAGTTCCTCTCAGGGGGAGAAGGAGGAGAAACAACTTTTCTCTGATTCTGTTGATTAACAGGTGGTATATACAATGATCCTAAATGCGCAGTGCTTGTTTTTAACTCTGGTTGGGTGTTTTGACTTTGAGGCTGTCTCTCTTTTACTGGAGGCTGATACCTAGGTTGCTCTCTCGCAGGTTCCGGATAAGCTGGCTGTGCTGGTTGAGAGTGTTGTTGTTGTTGCCTATTTTGTTGCTGAGCGGGAGGTTGATATTGCTGTTGTTGTGGTGGTAATGGTTGTTGGTACTGTTGTTGTGGTTTGTAAGTTTGTTGTGGTACAGGCGAGATAGGCGCTCCTCTTTCAGTTGTAACGGGTTGAGTTCTAGAAACAATGTATGCTAATCAGTAGTTTATGCAAATTGCACCACATTCAAAATAAATAAATGTGAATCAGATCAAACGTCGTGACATGTACCGATTCAAAAGTTTTATTTGTATTCATTAAATTAAAAATGAGGTCAGATCCTTAAAACACATGACAAATATACGGATCGGGATGGGTGACTCAATGGTTGCCCTGAACCTTTAGGTCTATGTCTTAGAGGTTCAAAAAACTCCAGGACTGGGATTTTTTGTAAATAAAAATAAATGTTAATGCAAATGCATAGGTAAGATTCCCACTCGACTATTTAATTTTTATATAAAATATACTTAAGTAAAGCTCAAAATGTTTTATAGAAATCTAACCTTTGTGGAGGAGAAGGAGGTTGGAAATTCTGCTGCGGTTGCTGATAAGGTGGCGACTTAGGTTCTGGAACACCTTTACCGGCTTCTTCAAACATCTGATCAACTAAACTTTTTCTTGGTTGCGGACCGCTTGTTTTCCTTAGCATTGCCATGGGATTCTCAGGGATAATTTTCGTCATGTCAGGCCTCTCCAGAACTAGGTTATCGGACGTGCAAACTTTTTGAGTTGGCAAAGGACAATTTGGTGGTGGAGGTGGTGGGGGAATACCTTGTTTTGGTGGAGGTGGTGGGGGAGGTGCGCCACCCCTAACTGGGGCTGGCGGTGCGGGACCTGAAGGAAAGACTTGTACTTGGGTTTGTGGACGCATAGCGGCTAGAGCTGAAGGGGGTAGAGGACCTAAAAATGAATATAATTTTAATGTGAAAAATAATTTTAAATGAATTATAGGTTAGAGGTTTTACTGTAATATTAATGGAAATTCGTTATTTTAGATTTTTTATACCTGTAATTGGGACATGGGGTGATGGATGATGCGGAGTGTCTCCAGCGCCACCTAGATTTGCGTTTCGTTCTATTCTTCTTTGAAGACGAGGTGATCTAGCTTCAGATAAATCAATTCCTCCTGGTGTATAGGTGAAGGGTTTTTTGTCCTTGGTCATCATAGCATTTTGCACACACGCTGGTGGATCCATTTTCTTTGGTGTTATCTGGAAATATAACCTATATTAATCATTATTTTTGATACATTGACGTCTACTCAGTTAAAATCTAAGTATGACAAAAAATTGCTACAATTTAAGTAATTGCAATAGTAATTGTGTTATAAATATTCAAGCAATAAAGACACTTTATAGAAATGTAAATTAAGGGCTTCGTAAGTCGCACCATAAAAACTTTTCAAGAGATAAAAAAAAACAATTCACAAGTGCATAGAACAATCCATTTTACTTTATAATAGGACTAATATTTACCCATGTTTTGTTAAAAAATTGTAATACTTTCCGTGTAATACAGTACATGGACAGAAATGTTTTTAACAAGATTATCATAAAATATAATTTTCAGTGGAAATGTTAGTTACGAGGTCCTGCGTTGTGGCCCTCGAAATGCAAAAATCTTATAGATAAAAATACAAATGGAGGAAGATCTGAAGCATTGGAAATACAAATAGGAATTAAACAAGGAGATATTTTACTAATCTTTGTAATCACATTGGATATATTTCCTAATAAAACAAGAGAAAAACAAAATGGATCCAAATATTATGATACTAAAAACTGGATCGTATTTACAGTGTGAACCAGTTTATTGGAAAACGTAAATATTATTCGCCTTGTATTATTAACGGAAAAAGCACGGATACGTTAGTTTAGAAGCTATAATTTTTATTATGTGAATAAGACGTTGGTTGCTGTGACGTAATCACGATATTCAAATGGCAAAATGTATTTATTTTATCAAATCTTGGACGAAATTGAATTTTAAAAGATAAAAAACACTGACAGCTGACAGCTTCGTCGTATTAAAATTATAGTATCAAGAGAAGCCTATTAAAACTTAAAATTTTACATGTACGAACTTTTTTGCGAAAATATTACTTTTACGTTTTCCATTCTGTTAACCCTCCAACTTCCAAGGGTCGGGAAAAATTGACCAACTTGTGTTATTTTACATGTTTTGCATAAAAAACAAAATAAAAATCTAAAAAAATTATTTATTATCTTTTTTGATTTGGACATAAAATACACATCCTTGGTACTACTAACTAAAATTCTGAATATTCGAAAATAAATTTAAATCTGGCAAAGCCTAAAAATATGATCAATGACGCACCTTACAATATATAAGAGGTTTACTTTCGAGAAACCAAACTATTTAATATTGATCCAAATTTAAAATTTTTTGTACAAAAATTCTTCTCATCAAATATTTTAAACAACTTTTAGAAGTATCCATCTGTTTGTATAATACGTCTCGTCCGATGTCCAACTTGAAACTCTATAAGGGGTCGAATCCTATTGATTTTGAGAAATATCTGCCTAAAAATGGGAGAGTTTGTTTAGGGGGGTTGAAATTTAAAAAATCAGAAATCAAAAACGAATATGTAGTAAAAATTAAGCTTTATAAAGGGGTAAAGTCTAATGATTCTAAAAAAATAAATAAAAATAATGCTTTAGGAGGAGTTCAAATATAAAAAAAATCCAAACTCAGAAAAAAAAACGATATCAACTTGACATCTTCAGGAAAAATCAAGCCCTATAAGGGGATGAAGACTATTGATTCTGAAAAAATCTGATTAAAAATGGATATGTTAAGGGGGGTCTGTTTAACTGTGAAGAGTGGAAGAGTATAATATAGAATGCCAAGCATTATACAGGGTGTTAGTATATTCGACCGCATCGCTCTACTCCAGAGAGCTTCGTTAATTGATGATTTTTTATATAGGAACAGTTTGAAATCAAAATTCAAAATGTGCCATAAATTAAATACGCTTTTAAATATTTTTTTCAAATTTGGTAATCAATATGCTCTTTAAAATAATTATATTTTGACATAAACGTATTTTTACGCTACAGGAACAAACATTTCTTTGTTGGTTTATTTTTGAATTGTCTGTGCATTAATTAAAAAAACCAATTACCTTTTATAGAGCTAAAATGAACGGTGTTGTAGAAATTCGCTTGTAAACAAAAGTTGGCATGTACTTAGATCATTTCTAAATTCAAATTCAAATTTTTAATGGCTCGTATATGGAAAGATATGGGTAGATGAAATTTGAAAAAATATATTTAAACACATTTTTCATCTATGGTAAATTTCGAATTTTAATTTAAAACTTTTAACACTCTGTATCTCGATAACTAAGTCCGTTAACGCTAAATGCAGGCGACATATTATAGTTTGCCCTGCTGCGAAGTCTACGCAATGAGGTGCGGCATTGAAATAGATTTACTTACATTTTTTTTGTGTTTAATTTTTTGTTTGTATTGACATGTTACATGTTTAGAACTAGGATTCACGTCATTTTATTACATTATGTAATAACTGTACAGTGTTGGATTGAGCCGTCGAGTCAGTTTACCGCTTGAAAGATGGGTAGACCCTTGTCCAGGCAGTGTGAGTTCTCGAGAAGAACAATGAACCAAATACGAACTTAGATTGTAATGATATCCAATAAGTAACTGATGCAGAACTAAATGTAAAACATGCACGGCCAGAAAGTGACTCAAAAACAATAAATCTATTTCTTCACAGTAATGCAAGCTTACAGGATTTTTTTTTGTTTTTCTTAAAAATCATCATATGCAAGCAACGCACGCAAATTTTCCCAGACTTCCATTTATAAAAGGCGAGTATTTAAGAATTTCAATTTTATGCTTTGTCCGAAGTTTTACCTTGGTATCTACCTATTTTTTCCTAACAATTTGTTTTTTTGTTCTAAGAATTCTGTGAATTTTATGATTATTTCGTTTACACAGGGTGTCCACAACCCTCGTCACCAAAAACCAAAATCGCCCCATCCAAAATTCTTGGGAGGGATATTGGATATTTTTATTGATAACTTTTGTCATTTACAAACGAATAGAATGAAAAAATTACATTCATGCCATATGATTAATCATATTCCACGAAATGTATAGATGTTAGAGGAAACCGTTTCGAAGAACTCCGGTGATAGAAGAACATCTTTAAAGAGCTTTAGCCTACTTATCTAGGATTGCATCAAATACTATTGTAGGTATTACATGACTTTTATGACTTTTTTAACTCGTTTTGTTAAACTTTATGTAGCACTTCCTTTATGGAAATAGTCAAGATGTGCCTGATGATGAAGCAATAGCTTCGAAACCGGTCGCCAATTAAAATTGACGTGTGAGAAATAAAGGACCTTTTCTTAACCCCTTATACTTAATCCCTACTACTCACATATGGCTACCCTCATTCCAAATATGCACTAAGCGCTACTTAAAAATGCCTCGTGAATGTTTATAAATCCTGTACCTAGGTATATAAAATAAGAATATTATCTACAATATAATTTAAAAAAATATGTCTTTGGTAGCAAACAGAGTCTGTTTTGCGAGAACATTAAAAATATTGTATTGATAGGTGGGCCCTTCTCCCTCCTGGACCGGTAGGCTCCAGAGGTCCCCATACGATACTGGCTATACATATATTTCAAAATAAATCAGTAATATTGTTATTATTACCAGTGGCGGCTCTCTACATGACACAAGTGACGCGGTGCTTCGCCAAAATTTCAGTAGAAATTATTAAAAAATTAAACTAAATAGTTGTAACAAAATGCCCTGCATTTTTGTCTCTATATAAATTAAAAAACAGAAACCTCCAAAACTGAACCTAACTTGGGGGTACCTGGACATCAAACAAACGAGACACTTGATAAAAAAATCCGACCGTCTGGGCTAGCTTGTTTTGGAAATATAATACTATAGAAATATTTCCTAATCCAAGCGAACAGAGCGCTTTACGCGCTATTCATAAAACCACCGAATACGCGTCTCTCCTATCGGCGCGTTTCCATCTAGCGTATTAATGCACTTGATGCGTTAATGGGCCCGTTCACTTTCATTTTTGAATGTGAATTAATTATATATTTATAAAGATATTAAACTCTTTTGTCTGATGGTACTTTTCCCGTTAAGATATTTTTGCTAGAAGTAAGGGAATTCCCATAAAATTCTTTCAGTGACTCATTGCGTCAGAAAATCCCTAATTCCGTTCACGTCTCGTATCGGTTATGCTTAAAGACGGCGAGGTTGTCTGAAGTATCCCTAATATAGCATTTCTGCATTTATATATGTAATTTAAATAGTAAAATTCCATTATTTTTCTAAAAATCATGAACTTATATTTTCAGATTTAAAGCTGGGAGCTTATTTTTTACTTTTTAATTAAAACAATTATTATTACTCAGGCTGAAAATTAACCAGACCATAATCAAAAAGTAGAAATTTGATTTGCAATATTTATCTGGTAAACGTGGCAACGATGCATTTATTTCTAGAAGTGTGTGTAGACAACACTATTTAGAAGTACTTACAACGTTGTCACGTTTACCAGATACATTTTCTCAAATAAAATTTCGATCTGGTAATATTCAGCTTGAGTAATACTAATTGTTTTTATTAAAATTTAAAAAAGGTAAGGCTTCCAGCTTTATCTGAAAATATAAACACATTATTTTTAAAAAATAATATATTTTTATCATGTAAATTTCTTTAATAAATGCAGAAGAGGAATGGTGGTGCAATGATACATCCGACAACCGCGCCCTTTTAACTATTAACCGATACAAGACCTGAAGGGAATTAGGGGTTTTCTGACGCAATGAGTCACTGAAAGAATTTTATGGGAATTCCCTTACTTCTAGCAAAAATATCTTAACGGGAAAAGTACCACCAGACAAAAGAGTTTAATATCTTTATAAATATATAAATAATTCACATTCAAAAATGAAAGTGAACGGGCCCATTCAGTTTGCTTCTTCCGGTCGAGACTATTTTTATAGAGTGGTTGGACCAGTTGGTCAATTGCGACTATTGCGAGTTTTTTCAATTTTTCTAACAGTGTTTCCAGTACATGATCCAGTATGTATCCTATTGGAGATGACATTCTGTAGATGAGGAAGTTAGGATAAAAAGACTTTTTAAATTCGCCAAAACCTGAA